ACCCAGCTGAGCCTCAGGAGACCCACCCAGCTGAGCCTCAGGAGACCCACCCAGCTGAGCCTCAGGAGACCCACCCAGCTGAGCCTCAGGAGACCGGACTCTGTTCTCACACTCACTCGGCTAATGCCTCCCAGTCTTTTTTCTTTGTCAGGTCTATAAAGAAGTCAAACTGGACAATCTCAGAATCCCTTCTCGTTGTTAAACCCTTCAATTCTAAAAACAGTGATCCTAAGTTGGCAGTTACAGCCTCCTTCCAGCTCTCTCTTCCCTGTCTAACCCATACCCCTCCCCCCACCACTCACTGTTCTGTGAATCTTGCTGAAGTTCTTTTTCACACAAGATTCCTTTGGCCAAGCGGTTAAGGGCCTTGTGGGCAGCATGACCACTGAATGCAGAACCATGAGCTCTTCCTACCAAATGCGCACAGCCCAGTTATTTGCCACGCTGCCCTGCTCCCCACACCAACTCCTTTCCAGCACGAGTGGTTTGTGCTTTGAGGAGCCCGGGATTCACCTTCCAGAAGGTAGGTATCAGACTCCCTAGCAGGCCTCCCTTAAAATAACCAGGCAAGGATGAATTTTTTTTAAGATTTATTTATGCGTACAGAATTGGGGTACAGACCAGAGGTGCAGGGCCAGTGAGAGGCTTCACCAGTGACAGAGCGGGGAGCAGAACAGGCTGACTGATGAAGTCCACTGCTGAGGGGAGCAGCGGGCGGGTCAGGAGAGGTCTGCTGCGCCATGTGGGTCACCTCCGGGGTGGGGATCGAACTCGTGCTGCAGTGGCTTTAGCCTCTTACTGCTGCGCCTTAACCTGCTGTGCCACCAGGGTGGGGCGGCAAGGACAAATTTTTACACGTCCCGAGGCATTTTTATTATCTCACAATCCCTGATGACTCATTTTTCAGTAGAGGAAACTGAGACTCTGGAAGGCTAAGCCACTCACTCAAGGCCACACAGCAGGGGGGGCGTGGTGGGAATTCAAAGGTGTGACTACTGCCCAGCTGTCCTTTCCTGGCGCCCACTGTGGCTTTTGGTCAGGTGTCTGCAAGAGGCTCCCTTCTACGTAACCTGCATGCTGCATTTCACGCGGTGACCTGACCGGGAAGCTGAGGTCAGCTTCCGGGCTTTGCTCATGGTCCCTTTCTTTTGACCTGGGCTCGGGCCTCACTACCTTCTAGCTAGGTGACATTGGATGAGAAACTCTATATCTCAACATAAAGCGGTTCCTGGGGGATTTTTGTGAGGATTAAACCAGAAGAGCGCCGCATAGGGAGGACTGTGCAGCCCGCACCATAGACCCCGCCAGAGCGTGCGGGAGACCAGAAGAACCGCCTCCAGTCCGCACTGCGCAGGCGCGTTTCCGCCAGTTGTGCGGCTGCGCACTCGGCCGGCTTTGCGACTGCACCGCTTTACGGCAGCGGGGTCCGCGCGCGCCGGCGTTGCCAGGTAACGGCCAGCGCGTGGGGCCGGAGCAGGTAAGGCGTCCGGCGAGGGAGCGGGACGCGAGCAAACCCGGCCTTCCGGGAGAGCGCGCTCGGGCGAGCGCGAGCTGGGCCCCGACATTCCCCCGGGGTCGCACTGCAGGGCCCGACGGGGCGCGATCGCGTACCCCTCTTTCGCGTCCTGTCGGAATGAACCCGTCTCCCTTCTCTGTGCACCCACAGCTCTTCGTACCCGTTTCTTCGAGCTTCCCGGAAACGTGTCCGGTGCGAGGGCGCCAAAATGCCTCAGACCCCTTAGGTGCCCTCGAGGGGCCTCAGCCAGTGGGGTGGCTGGCAGGGTGGCGGCTTGGGGGCACCAAGGGAAGCAGCCAAGGGACTGGGCTCGCGCCTCGCCGGCTTCGTGCGGGCCCTTCCTCGCGGTGGCCGCCGCTGGCCAGCGCGCAGCGCGTGGCCCGCCCAGAACGGGGTTAATCCGCACTGCAGCCTTCAAAGGGCTGTTTGTTTGTGTGACTTGTCTCGGGTTCTGACTTGAAAGCTTCCCGGAGGCCGCCTGCTGGCCTTGAACCTCTCGCTGCCCCTCCCAGCCCGGGAGGTGTGCAGTTGGAGCTTCAAACACATTTAATTGGGGGCCAAGTTGGCTGGCTGGAGGTCTTAGCCAGACTTTTTTGGCAAGGTGGCCCCAAGGGGGTGGAAAAGTAAATGGACCCTCCTTTCCCCTTTTTGTTTTGTTTGTTTTTGAATAAACATTTACTGTGCACCTAATGGTGTTAGCTTGTCTGCTTGATGGGGCAACAGGCCCTGCTTTTGATAGAAAAATAAACAAACACCACAGGCTTCTGAAATCAGTCCGCAGGGGTTGAGGAAAGGCAGGTCCCTGTGAGTGCACAGCCCCGGCCCCCTCTTCCCGCCTCTCTACGGGGGCTGTGATAGAGCTGTGTCCCTCAGGGGCATTTGGGATTGGGTTTGGATTGGCCACTCTGTCACCAGTCGTTGGCAACCTTGGCTACCTGTTGAACCCCAGTCTCCCCTGTAACTGGTCTTACCAGCCCCTCTTTCCTTACCACCCTCTCCTTTCCCCTGTGCTGGGCTGCGGACACTCGGTGTGTTCAAGCACTTTTCTAAGTGCTCCATGGCTCCTAACTCCCAGAATCTCTTTTTACCCTTATTTTGCTGGTGAGGAAACCAAGCACAGAGAGATTGAGTAGATTTTTGCCCAGAAGTTAGGAACTGGTGAAGCTGAATTCCAGTCCCAACCATCTGGTTTTAGCATGCCTGGTCTTAGTTTGGTGGCTCACCTTGAAATGACAGCTGCTGCTGTCATTGTCATTATTGTTGATTTACCTTAAAAAGTGAAGCTGATCCACCCGCTGTCTGGAATGTGTTTCAAACTTCTTTTGGAAATGATGTGCTCTGGGATTAAGGCTTTGGGGACAGGTTTTTTTGGTTTGTATCTTTGTTCCCTCCGCACCTCTGATGATGGGCTCTGGTTCTCTGTAAGCGGGAAGTAGTCCTCATAGCGACCTGTTGTGCTAGACCTCGGGGCCAGGGCTCCTTTGTGTGACATTGTGCCTTTGCCCAGGTCCTTGGGCCTCCGTCTGGGGGCCTGCCTGGTGGCCTGGAACAACTTAAGTCTCAGTGCTATCGCCAGACCCTTGAGTTTGATCCCAGCCAGGGAGCTGACCCATAGGGCACAGCAGACCTCTCTTGTCTCCTCACTGCTCCCCCTCAGCAGTATATTTTAGTCGGTCTGCCTGTTCTGCTCCCCACTCTGTCTCTGGTGAATCCTCTCACTCACCCCCCCCCCACCCCCAGGCCTAGACTTTGCTCTTGTATGCAAAGTAAAAACCTTAAAAGAAAAAAAATGCAACTGAATTCTTGGACATCGTTGTGGGAATTGAGATATTCAAGGTGAATGGGTTTTTACTGCTCCTGCAAGATGTTCTCACTACTATATGGACTGCATTTCACTGCTTTATAAATATTTTCCCAAAGGCCACGAAGCCTTCTGAGTGTGAGTATAAATGTATTCACATTTCTGACCAGTGCCATCAACGTTTACCCGTTTCTCTCTGCTCTGTCTACCCTTTAAAGAGGAGGTACTCTTGGACCATGGCAGAAGCTGTTTTCCACGCCCCAAAGAGGAAGAGAAGAGTATATGAGAGTTACGAGTCTCCGCTGCCCATCCCTTTTGGTCAGGACTGTAGTCCGAAGAAAGAATTCAGAATATTCCGTGCCGAAATCATCAGCAACAATGTCCTCGTGAGGAACGCAGAAGATATGGAGCAGCTGTATGGGCAGGCAGGTGCTAGTGGCCGGGCCTGACGGTCCTGGGCCAGCGGTGTTTCTTCTCCTCCCCACCCCGTGTACCCAAAACACAAGCCAGAAACAGCCCTGCCCCCTCCCACAGTCCAGCGTAGGAACAGAGTGACGTGAGGCCAGAGCCAGGAGCCCTGGGGATGATGGTCACTCCCGTGGGAGAGCCTGCTCGGCGTGAAGTAGGGGCGGGCGTTTCCCATTCTGGTCTCTCTCAATTATAAAACTATGCATGTCCATTGTAAAAAAAAAAATGTTCTCAAGCAATTTACAGATGTATAATGGGCAAAAAGTGAAACACCCACTCACTCTCGTTCCATTCCCAGCTGCCACAGGCTGGCTGGGGGACAGACTGCACGAGGCTCCAGCTCGGACTCTGGCTCCTTGTCTGCCCTCCCCAGGGACCCCAGGGATGTCTTCCTTTGCCCCTCTCTATCAGTGAAAGGCTTGGGTTGAGATCGCTGACTTTAACCCATAGTTTATTCCCTAACTTGCTGGGGGCACGGGGGATTTCATTGAGCTTTATTGAGGTTTGATTTGCAGCTATGAAGTCTCCATCGTACGTGTGCAGTTCACGAGCTCTTTAGCATTGCAGCCCAGTCGGAGCGTCCATCGTCCTTCAGCACAGTGGGTCCTGGCTCTGATCCTCTTGTCTCAAAAATGCACCTCCTACATGCACGATCCATACTCTTGAGCAACCAGGTTTGCAAAGCGCTGATCACTGCGTGACTTCTGCTTGTTAAATCTTTATTTCAACTTTCTCCAGGTTTCAATATTTTATACTTATTTTAAATGGGTAGGTGGCCACCTGTGTTGCTTTAGAATCAGCTGGAAGGAGAGGAACTCTTTGATTCTGGGTACAAGAGAATCAGGGACTTTTGGTCTCTGGTAGGCTTGGCTCCTGACCCACTTATGGGCGCAAAACCTGCCTCTGTGTGCCCGTTGCCTTCAGTGCATCGGACTGGGACTGAAATCATCGATTCTGAGACACATGAGGTTTACAGAAAGCACACTAGCATCCTCCAAAGGACCCCAGAGAAATGCCAAGGCCTTTGGTAATCAGAGGGACGCTGTGGAGCTATGACTAGAGCAAATCTCTTGGTAACTCAAATCGTTTTTCTTCTTCTGTCAAATCTAACTCTTCTCTCTCTCTCAAGGGTTATTTTGGAAAAGGTATCCTGTCCAGAAGTCGCCCAAACTTCACAATCTCAGATCCTCAGTTAGTTGCTAAGTGGAAAGGTAAGCCTGGCTGTCATTCCACTCTTTTGGCAAATCATCATTTCCTTTCATTTTTTGATCTTAACACCTCTGATTGCAGAGTAAAATTCCAGAGAAATAGCGTGCACTCTGACAATGTTACCGCCCCCAAAGGCAACTAAAATAATTCTAGTCAAAGCGAAAGGATTCTTAGGTGAACTCCCCGGGGCCGTCTCATTGAAAGTTCAGTCACATGTGAACAAACCAGTGCTTTTAACTGGCAGGCCTGTCATTCCAAGATGATGTTACATTCAAAGAAAGTATTCACTCACGTGTGTGCAAAATAAACCATAAAAAGTAAGAGGCGCTCATAGCGCAACATGGGGAGGGCCGGGCACGGAAAGACTCCGCATCACCTCAAGCTGAAAGCAGGGACCCACCCAGGAGTGTGTTTGGAAACAGATCTACTCTTCTTGGACTGCGTAGTCATCTTTATCCCTGGGTCTTAAGTGGAGGGATTAAGCTGTCGGTCCCGGAGGGTGAGGCAGTCTCACGAACCTCGGTTCCCTGGCTGCCTGCGGGCTGCACTCCCTCTTCAAAGCAGACTGATGCCTGTGGGTATCATCTTGTGCCTCTTTAATAATTTTTTTTAAGTGTGCTTGCTCTCCTGTACACACTTACGAGCTCCTGAGGGAGCAGGGGAGAGAAGCTTCCCAGGAATAAGAAAAATAAATATGTAATGAAGTTTTGCATATCTGAAAAAAACACAGGGCATAAGCATTCAGGGTGGCCGAGAGGGTCCTCTTCCGCGCTGCGGCCGCTGAGCTGGGCATCGCCTGGTCTCGTGAGCCAGGAAGCGTGTGTGCCAAGCCAGCCTCTCCTGCCGGGGGCGGGGCAGGGTGCTGGGCTTGCTGTTGCTGGCTAGACAGCATCAACCAGACATCCAGGTGTGTGATCTCGGGACTCTGGACCCTCTTTTTCTTATTTTTCAGCGTTTATTTTTTTCACATAAGGCGAGTTTGTCTGAACTAATAGAACTTGTTTGTCATTACAGATGTGAAGACAGACTGGCCTATAATCACCGCTAAAAAGTAAGTGATGGTGACCCTTGGCCTTGGTCAGGGTTACGGGTTGAGTCAGATCTGATTTTAGATGGCTTTTTCACAGCCTTTTATTTTGATGGACTCATTTTCGTAGTAGGTATACCCTTGAAAATTGTGTCTGAATTTAATGTGGATCAAATCATATTTGAAATGTTCTCAGTAAGTTTATTTTTAAAAATAATCCTCAGCCAGATCCTCAGCCAGCTGAACTCCTTCCAGAGTGTAGCAATTACCCAGTAATGTATACCTCTTTAAGCGCTAAGAGGCTTAGTCGTGGCTGGAGTGCTGGCTTCCTGCCTGTGTAGGCACAGATGGCCGTGTCCCTGGGGTCAGCGCAAGAGGCCTGCACAGAGGCTGTCCCTCCTCCCTCTCCCCAGCTGGGTCCTGCTGGACGCCTGTTCACGCTGGTCCCATTTCCCGAACACCGCCCCCCCCCGCCCCTTAACTGCCCGCCTGTTCCAGCGCGCCCAGCCCTCGTCCACCCAGCCCTCGTCCACCCTCCTTCCAGCCAAGAGCTGGCTCCAGGGGCCAGAGCCGAGCCGGCCTTGGCGCCCCTAACTATGGCGTCATTCACTGAGGTTTAGTCAGCTGTGGCGACGGGGCCACGCCTGGCTCGCCTCCGCGGCCCGTACTCAGTGGTCTCTGGGCAGGAGCCTGTCGACGCCACGTTCATCCACCCCAATCCTCATCGTCCCTGAGGTACAGCTCTTCCGTGAAACCATCTAAAACTCCTCAAGCCCGTGATTTCTCATTTCAAGCACGCATCAGCAGAAGCTGACAGCTCCCTGGGTGCCCAGTAACCCTGCAGCCAGAGGAGCGGCCAGGACGCCGTGGCCCTGGGGCTGGCTTAGTGGCTGAGGGCCAGGGGAGTGGGGCTCCAGGGACGCGCTGAGACCCCGCAGAGCCCTGTCCCTGGATGCACGGCCAGCTAGGCTGCTGCCCCCAAAACCTGGACCCCAGAAACAAAGCGAAACCCATCGGCAGAGCTGCCCCCGGTCAGGCGCCTGGACTCCGGAGGGTCTGCCCCGGAAGGCCTCTATATGAAGGCCAGCCCTTTGGAGCCCCACCGGTAACATTCCAGGGATGTGACGGGCCTCTGAATGGTGTCTTAGGGCTATTGCTGCAAAGTACCACAAACTCGGTGGCTTAAAAGAACAGAAATTTACTCTCACAGTTCTGGAGGCCAGGTGTCCATCACCAGGAGTCTGGCAGAGCTGTGCTTCCTCAGGGCTCCAGGCCAGACCCTTCCCTGCCTCTGCTGGCTGCCGGCTGGCCATCCCAGGCCTGTGCACTCACCACTCCGGCCTCTGCCCCACCTCATTACGTGGCATTTTTCCGTGAGCCCCTGCATGTCTGAGTCCAGATATCCCTCTTCTGTAAGGAGACTGGTCAGTCTGGCCTCAGCTTAACTCGATCGCCCCTGCAAAGACCCTGTTTCCACAAAAGGTCACATTCTCAGGTGCCACGGCTTAGGATGTGCCCACAGTAATCCTCCTGGGGGTTATTAAACATCGGTAGTGCAGCTATATCTGGTCATCACGAGATAACAGGCTGCCCAGTTACCGTACGAATCACCGCTAATGAATGGACCGCCCATAAACGCCACCCACACCCACACTCTGCCCTCCAAAATGCTTTGGAGATGCCGGGCGCAGCCTCACCCCAGCTGCTGTTTTCAACTTGAGTTCTTGAGTAGCACTCCCAGGTGTTCATCTTCCAAATCTGCTTTGCTTGTAAGTTGAGCACCTTCCGCGGCCTCATGAATCCCACTGTCTTTTGCAAGATTCACATTTTCAGTTGCCGTCACGAGGCCTTCTCTTTACCCGACAGACTCGTGGCACCAGCCTGACGCATGAAAGGGGGTGCCCTGGAATGGAGATTGTTTATAAAAAATTTTCAGGTTACAACTTCCATCTCCTCTGTGGACTTAGGGTGTCCAAAGATGTCACTACGACACATCCTGTCAGAAAATTATGCTCCCCCCAATCAAAACGGAGACCATAATCTGCCTCTCTCCCCCTCAACGTTTTCCAGCTTTTGCTTTTCACCTCTCTCCTCCTGCCACTTCTTAAGTGGCATTTGGGGTGAGTCTCGGTGGAGTTTGGCTTTTAAAGGCATCACCAGCCAACAGGAGGACATGTGACCCGTGGGCCACGTGACACCGCCACTGTTTCTGGCTCTTTCCAACCACAAGCTGGCTTCCTTGCTGGCTTCCTCCTCTGTGCTAGGTAGCCAGAGCCTCATTTGCATCTCAGAACGATTCTGTGAGGTCAGGAGAGGCAGGAATGCAGGTGTGTCTCTGGCATTTGGCAGAAGAACAGAAGGACGGACATAGAGACACCAAATGACAGGTCAGGTCAGAACCACACACAAGAGCCACCTCGGGACCCCGCACTGACGCAGCCCCTGAACCCCCAGCTCCGCCCTCCTCTCTCGGAGCAGCTGATGGAAGCGGATGCTTCCATCCGTTAAAGTGGAATTTTTTTTTTTAAGATTTATTTATTTGTGCATACAGAACTGGGGTACAGGCCAGAAGCTCAGAGGCGGCAAGAGGCTTCACCAGAGACAGAGTGGGGAGCAGAACAGGCAGGCTGACGAAGTACACTGCTAAGGGGAGCAGCGGGCGGGTCAGGAGAGGTCTGCCGCGCCCTGTGGTCACCTCGGGGGCAGGCGGGGATCGAACTCATGGGGAAGTGGCTTCAGCTTCCCAGTGCTGTGCTTTAACCCTCTGCGCCACCAGGGAGGGCCGGAATTTGTACTTTTAAAGGTAACAGGCGTTGAGTCCAGATGGTATTTCTCAAGTTTCCTCTAAGCCCCACCGTCACATAGTAGCAGACGCTGGTCCAGCAGCTACACTTGTTCTCTCTCGCCCTTGCAGCACCCCGCAAGGCAGGCGTGGGCTCAGATGAAGAGCGAGCCTCCCGGCGTGTAGCTGGTACGAGAGCCTGTGGAGGGAGGAGGCCACCCCAGCGCCCGGACCCCCGGTGCTGGGAGCGGGGCACCCGCCTCCTGCATGTGTGCGTGGCTCCCTCCTTCCAGACCTGCTCCGCGGGGCTGTGAGACCTTTGATTCATTTTTTTCACATATTTTGAGTCAAGGTTTTTGATGAAAGTTGTGGATCACTTCGCCAGCAAAGTACACACTGACTCAAAAATTGACGTTCAAAGAAAGGAGATTCAGAGACAACCGAGAACCACTGTTTTAAATGCACAGAGCGCGCGGTGGCGGTGTCTGGGCTCCCAAATGAAAGCGCTGACCGCGTAAGAGTGGCCTGCCTCCTTGACGGTCACGAGCAGGACCTGGCAGGCTCTCTGGGAGGCGAAGTCCGGCTTCGTCACAGCCACATGACAGACTCCGGGCCCACCGTAGAATATGCCAGACCGGAGTCCGCGCATGCGGTCAGCACGCCCTCCTGCCTCGAGGTGCTAGGGCGGCCTCGCCAAGTCTTCATCTGAGGTCTGAGGCACAGTTTCCAGAAAGACGTAACATCCCCGTGTGGGATAAACAGGGTGTGGGCAGCTTGGGGAGTCTCCTGCTGAATCAGGGTTAAGCGGCCACTAATCTCTTCCTAAGTACAGTAGAAACCAACTTCTTTGTTTCACTGTGTGTGCGGTAGTAGCGTATATCCTGTGGCCTGCTGAGTCGTGCACAACCAGGCCGATACCCAGGCATAAGCGAGGCCTGTGCCCTCCAGCCACGTGCCGTCTTACCAGCTGCAGGAGGAGGCAAAGGAGCTTGAGTGCCAGCGTCTCAGGCTCCCTGGTGAGCTGTCCAGTGGACAGTCCTCCAGCATACAAACTCACCCTGCAGCCTGGGGTAGCGGCCCCTCTCCCCCAAGACGGAACCTACCCACAGCTCTTCATACTTGGGGGTTGCCTCCGAGAGTTAGAAACTAAGGCAGGACATTCTGTTAA